ATAGCTGTCAGTCAGCGAACGGCGACGGGTTGGACAGGCCACGCTCAAATCACTCGCCCCTACAGCCCCCTTCCCCTGAAAACTGAATACGCCTGTGATAGATTATCACACATGCTGCATAAGCCAGGAATTTGTGTAGAGTGGATATCAGCATTGTGGTTGACAGTTGGAAGTTACCACTAAGCTATCTATCCCCTTCTTTCCACATCCGACTCTCTTAAACTCTGTCTAGCTTCATCCTGCATTCTCGCAACCACTCGCTTATCCGAGGCAGGTTACGTGCGCCAGCCACGAGCGGGCCAAGAGGCGCCGGAGGGGGATCGCGACCGGACGCCCAGCGCACACCCCGCAAAGTCGCGGCCCATGATAGCCTTTTGGGCTTACGCCTTCACCTATGATGGTTTGCTTTATAAGTGCAATGTGATAGGCTTGCAACATCGCATTCGCTCCCCATGAACGGGACAAAAATAGTGTTGGGGACTTTTCGTGATGCCGCATCTTTTGCATACTGGACACGCTCGCATACTTTCATTACCAAGGTACCGTCCTGATGTCTTAAGTTGCGATTTTTGCTTTAGACGTTCACGTTAGATGCACGCAAAATAGATTGACAAACTTGCTAATTGTCAATCAAAAATGTCTTAAGAAGTTTATTTCTTGCCTTTCTGTTGTCCCCGACCACAAATATCTGAAACTTTTTGTAATAAATGTAAATCATCCAAGAAGAAATCGAACGCTGTTTGGTTTTGATAATTGCCGAATAGTTCTCGAGATATGGAGGAAGGCCGAAGGAGCCCCTTAACGTAACATATAACATACGTCCTTAAATAATATGGCTGATAAAATAGATATTATATATATATATAAAATATAATATAAAATAGGTGGTATAAAGCGAAGTGCTCAGCGGCTAGCCATTTCAATAGTTTCAAATATGTCTATACGTAATCGTGTTCTCCTTTTCCGCATAACTCACGAACCCAGAGATCAAGGTTTTTTTCGTATTCAGTGCGCCTGCACCCGGCCACGTGCTGCGCACACGGATATGCAATACGGAATGTTAGAAATGACAAGAAAATTAACCACTTACCAGGGGGATCATACCGTTAGCTATGTCTGGCGTGTGAATGCGATAGAAGCATTCCAGCAAGATTAGCAAACAGCTGGCCATTAAGCCCGTTGAAGGTTAGATACTTAGTTATGACTAGCCCAGGAGCTCCGCGATTCTCCTTCCAGAAATCACTGAACGACCAAATCTGGCACGGGCCTCCAAATATCCGAGCAGCAATCTTTTAGAGCCGAATATAGCAAGCTGCAGTTTGCATGTCCAGTTCCAGGAGATGAGCTAAAAACATCTTCAGGTTGACTGTGAGAGGGTGAATATCCTGCTTCTTGCTCGTGACGAAAGCCCAGGCGTCGCCATTGTACTGTCGTACATGGTCACGTCTTCAGATCAAAGCGACAAGTCATTCGAACAGAGAGAAAGCAGGAGAAGTCCCTGTGGATAGCCTTGACATCTGGCGGTTTTCCTATCACTGCCGTGAATGTGTACTTGTGTATAACTGGATCATTGTAAAACCTATCCGTGCCAATCTTGGGGCACTTTGAGTGTGTCAGGATTAAGATGTGATTAACTGCATCAAAACTTTTCGAAAGGTGATTTAGGACTGACAAGCAGTTTTACTGTGACTAATGGAGCCGGAATGCTTGGTCAAGACTGTTCCAGTCGAATGAACATCATCTATAACCATGCTGCGACGAAGCAAACAGGTCATGGCTACTGAAACAGGCATGAAGGCATACAGCCATAACATTGCCAGGACACCGATGATGTATTCCAGAAGTTTTGATATCGCCAGGAAAATAGCGATTTAGCAAAATTTAGCAGGGCGTTCAGGTCATTACTTATGGAATGACCCGTAACAACTGCTTCTCCCATTAGACCCGCACGAGTCCGGTAGCGGGATAGAGGTTACGAGCCCGGTATGACACATATCAAAAGACTTTTAGGTCTGAGATATGTAAAAAGGACATCCCAGATAGGAGGAACGCATTACTAAATTGCTGGCAATGACGCCACAGCCTTTGAATGCATTCATCCTTTGATGGACATCATCCATCTTTTTATTCTCTTCTTCGCTTTATCTTGCATCCTCGCGACGCCCGGCCTGTCCGGCGAAGGCTGCATGCGCTAGCCACAGCTGGGCTGAAGTGTTCCTTGAAGGGGGCGATGTCAGAGCCCCGAGCACCCCCCCCCCTCCACAGAGGGGAGTGCCCTGCGCGACCAAAGCCTCGCCGCATGGTTCTCTAGGTACATGAAGTCTTGCCACGCACTTATCCAGTCCCCTTCATTCCAAGATCCTGAAATCAATGACTGGCCGAAAGGGCTCTTCTCCAAACTGCCTACACGCAGGATACACCCGTTTAGCCGGCATTTCGTAACTAACTGCGCCTTGACCCTCACCCTAGAAGACCTATACGTCCCTATTTTTTGGAGTACGTCGCAGAACGATGCTTAGCAAGGTGCTGAAATTTTGACAAGCTCATTTTGCATCATCTTCACCTGCTTAAATCATTTCAAGTCTCTGTCCATGACAGTTCATACCCTTTCACTTCTTCTCTTAGGTATCATGTCGGTAATTTTGCTCAAAAACGAAAAGAAACTGCTGAGTGCTCTTAGATATTGAACTCTAAAGAAGCTTTTATACCGCTTTTCTTCACACTCAAAGGGGTGGGAGGCAATCTAAATACCCCCAAGGTTTTCCAGAATCACTTCCAAACGGCGCGGCGTTGCGGCGCCAAAAATTGCATAGCTGTAGGCAATTAAATTATGGGCAATTTAATAGATCTTTTAGCATTAAATATATGATGCACGTTGTAAGGCCGCTGGACTATGAGTGGTCATATCAGGACGTGACTGCCAGCGAAGGCCATTTCTAAGAAATCAGTCAATCTGACGCGACAACGGAGTGTTAGATCAAGTCATACCTCTATGAGAAAGTTTCGCAGGCATTGCACCAATTGCATTTGCAATTGCAACAGATTCCATTGGCCTAGAATCAGGTATAAAGGTAAGACCGGGGTCAACACCTATCTTCTTTTTTTCTAAAGGGCTTGTTTTATGGGGCTGCTCTGGTGCTTGCTTCAGATATATTTATAGTAGGGACCGCAACAGACATATTCCATGACATTTTTAAAGGCCCGAGTAAGGACCTGATCTGCTATGACCTAGATCAGCAATTTTTTGGCTGTTTTTGGAATAAACCGCCTATTGCAATCCCTGACGCTTATATGAATGACAAAATAGGAATAATCTGACAGGTTTCTCGTCACTTTGAACGCTCAGATGTCCAAAAAGGATCACTGATCTTAACACGCGGGCGGGTGGCCGGTTGGATACCCTTCGCTCGGGTGGAGATCAAGTTGTCCCCCTGAGATCTCAAGAACTAAGAGAGCTAGAAACACCATATTCACAGGATGTGTTGGCCTGTGCATGAACTCACTTAAGTCAAAGTTCGATATTCCTGGATCATGACCTTCGAGTCTTTACGTCAAACAAGGTCAAATTCTAGGTTGGTCGCCAAATTGCCCCGGAACCCAGATATCTCATCTAAGCAAAAATTAACATGCTCACTTAAAGTCAGTGACCTTGTTTTGCCTTTCGAAGGTCATGGTGGCCAAAATGATACAAGACTGTATTGAGTTTTGCATTTGAATAAGCGACAAAGATTACGCTAGGGCAGTTTGTGCCTAAAACGAAAGTGTCGACCTCAGTCATTTCAGATCAGTTACCTATCATGACCTTTAAGAAGTCCATGGAAGATGTATAGTGTGGTTCCTTTTTCTAAACAAAAAATTGAAATGAGCACCTTAACGTAATTCTGCAGCAATCCTTAAAGAAATCAAGCATGTTGGTCTGACCTTGGTGTGACCTTTACCCCGGACTCTAGGTCAACGGAATTTGTTCACCCAATTGTTCTATTTGCTAAGAAAGCATCTCAGATAAATATGGCTTTGTCCAACACTCCGTTGTTTCAACAGATTGAACGATTTTTTAGAAATTGACTTCGCTGAATCCATGACCTGAATTTGACCTGCCGTAGCTGAGCGACCTTACAAGGCATATCTAAATTGTTAATGCTGAACTATCCGTTATATAGTTGTCAACAGTTGCACAAAATTTGGCGCGGCTACGCCATGCCGCCACGCTACGCCAGAGAGGAACAATTTGAAAGATATATTTTTATTGGCCATGATCGCCACATGGTCAGTGGAATGTCAGGGTTTGAGTGGCGCTACTACGGCGTCATGGATGTCTGGGTAACCTTGCAAAAGTCTACACAAAATAGTCAGCACATCTTCACGGATGTGTAGCTCAAAAGCTAGAGATATTTAGGTCTTAAGAATGGCTGGGCTGTGAACTGCACTGAATTATCTTCAACATGGCCATTGTAGCTTTTTTTAAATGTTCATACAACTGTAGAACACTCCCTTTAACATGCAATCGGGTGGTGGTCAATTTGGCCGCATTAAGGTTTTCCAAAATGACTTCCGGACTGCGCAGCGTAGCCACGCTAAGCTTTGTATGTCTGTGGCCAATTGCATGCCCCTCCTTTTGCTATAAACATTAGATGTTCCTCGTAAGGTCGCTGACTTAAGGTAGGTCCAATTCAGGCAATGGCTGTCAGCGAAGAAAATTCCTACGGAATCGTTTACCTTACTCGCGACAACGGATTGCTAGGCCAAGCCAGACATCTTTGAGACGGTTTCGTTGACACTTAGAGAATCGAATTTAGGCCTCTCTTACTAACTCCATGGACCTCAGATTGATCAGGAAGGTCAACTGGAGGTCAAAATTAAGTTGTTTTTTACTCGAGACCTTTCTTTTGGGGGTAGCTTTGACGTTCAATTGAATTTCTTGATCACAGTGAGGCCAACAAAGGTGTTAGTTGAGCTTCGGCTGTCTGACTTTCCGGCTGGTGCGCCGCCGGTCCCGCCTCATGTCTCCCGCCGGTCCGAAACACTGATAACCCTGAGGCGCAACCCTTTATTGTCAACTCCTGGCAATTCTCCACTGACAACTAGTGTTAGTAAAAGCGAAATTTGTCATGGTTTGAAGTTTGGTCAGGTGTATTTTGTTGCATGTGAGGCGTGAAAAACTCATATCTAGCTGCAGAACGTTCCAAGAAATTACGGCTGCGTAGCGTGAACAGCGGCAATAACTGGTTTTGCAATCTGCACATCTCAAGCTATCGTGATCATCGGATATTCTGGACGAGGATGATTACACATTTTTATCAGCTTTTGTGTACGTCTGGCTTAACCCATGTGTTATGCTAAAATTAAATCGTTTCGCTTGGGGCCCATGTGCTTAAATAGTACGGTCCATTGCTGCAAAACCAAATAGTTCTATCCCTTGCACTGGGCACGACAATCGATCCCAGGGCATTCAGTCGGCGAGAATGTTGCGAGTTATCGTGAACTTGAACTCTGTTGCACTGGGTTAGGCTGCAGCTCACTACTGCAGTCTCCCGTGTTACGCTGTCTGCTGCGTCCCAGTTCTTCTGAGCACGCCGTCCTGTGCATATCGCCCTACGTCGGGTGGTCCGCGTATCTTGCCATCGCGTGATCCGGTGCAGGCTCGAGCCGCACGTGGCCGTCGAAGAACAATGCGTCGCCTCCGCCGCCACGCGAGCGAGACAGGCGCGGCGCGCGACCAACATCCGGTCAGGGGCCGGCGGCGACTGGTGACGGCGGCCGAGAAGGCCGTCTCCGCCCGCTCACCTTGGCGGGGCGTGCGTCGGCTCGTCTGCCGCCGCGGGCGCCGGCCGGGGCCGCGGCGTGCCGGTGCCCGGCTCCTCTCAGAGCTGCCGGTCCGGCCCGGCCGCGAACATGGCGTTCCGCGCCCTCACCCTCCTCCTGCTCATCGCCGTCGTCGGTGAGTGAAAGGAGAGCCCCCGATGCCGTCAGCTGGGTGTGCGACAGAGGCGCCGATTGTATTCCAAATTTTTGGTATTTCAAAAATCAAGGTTCATTTGGAAAATTGGGCGGGCGGGGGCAAACATATTTGGAATGTATTGCTCAGCCGATAATATCATGTTGTGTCGCAACTTGTTATGCATCTGAGCTTATTTAATGCTGCTCGTTTTTAAAGCAATTTGATTTCAGAACATAAAGAGGCTGTTGATAGAGCAAACTAAAAAATACTCCCTTTTGGAACATGACATAGAAATCTTCAACGCGAACACTGGCACATAATTCTTAGGGCATGTGACCCACAAACTGAGATAGGAAGGCTGGCATAAAACGGAATCCCTTTTTACGGCAGCTGCTCTTATGTTAAAGGATCAACTTCTGCCCCTTTGTGATTTGTATAGACCCTAAAACTAAAGTTTAGTGGCCAGCAAGCTACTTCAACAGTGATACTTGACCTTAAATTCAGATGACCTACCTTAAACACTAACGTCATGATGTCTTGCGAGATAGTGCCAAACCAACACGTCGTCCCTTTGTAGTCCTCGTCAATTGCACGGTTTTCAAGTCCATGGTTTCTGGATGACATCTCCGCAGCAGTAAAGCTGGAAAGGACTCCTTGCGTGCCGGTGATTTCGAAATCCCTGAGACACAATTGGAAACCTTTGAGATGTCACGGTTTTGGTCCACCGAGCGCCGAACTCGGTTTCAGAATTCTGCGTGACCGAGGCGTAGAATATCAGAGCTCCCATTTTGAATGCGGTGACTGTCTACTTCAGACTTTTGGTTCCGGTGATCAGCATGGAAAGAGATTATACACAGGACGATAGGAACTATAGAAAGTATGAAAGCACTTAAAGATAGTGTTTACATCAGCTATAAAATTGCGGCTGAGGGCGTGTCAAAGATGACCTGAGCGGTCTTACGCCAAGTATTAACAGTCACCGTCACGCATTTCAGCTCGTCGTTGACGGGGCATTTATCCACTCCCGAATCACTACGGCATCTTTCACTGCTTCCCTCTCCGTATCTCTGGAGCCATTGGGCTGATATTGCTGATTTGACTCGCAATTGGTAGCGCTTGATTTCACAACCAGTACAGGATTTCGCAGCCAGTGTATGATTTCATAGCCCGGCGATGACATTACAAGTCGGCTCTCGTTTAGAATGTTGAAAAGGTTGTGATTATATGTGATTTGCACAAATCGATTTTAACGCCAGGAAAATTGACTTGCACAGTCAGGAATGACATGTATCGCGCCATCCCTGAGTTGGGAAGAGCTTGAGCCGTTTCATAGGCATGTGTGTAGAGTGAGAAATGTTTGGTGACAACTGAATATTCACGATGCTGTTAAATGTCGTATTTTCTTTTAAACACGTTATCGTGTTCCGATTATTGTGTCTACGTTATCGTATAATGGCTTAGATCGAAGTCACCTCAACCTTGTAGGTTAAGGGAATTCAAATATCACTTATCAAATAAAGGTAACAAATTCTATGCGAATGGGGAAAATGACACCCAAAAAAGTCTGCTGTTGTTTTAGAGTCACACAAAGTTCTAGGCCACTGCACGTGGAAATTGGTTGGAGGTCATGCCGGAAGAACAAGGTAGGAGGAGGGGAAGGAAATGGCCCCAAAGATTTTTGGGCCAATTCATTGGGCCACCATGAACCCCTCAGATGTTATTTTGCTTCAATTATCACCTAATTTTATCTTATGGGCAGCCTTCAAATGCAAAAGAGGTCAAACCATGAAAATACCATGACTTGTCCAATTTGTGTTAGGCATTAACGATTTCTGGGCGGACTCCCCGGGAATCCTATCCCGGGCGGAAGGAAGGGGAATCTTGGTAAACTTTGGTCTCCCCACGATCTCAGGAGCTTCTAGTCGATCACACAAAACAGTCAGTGTTTGAGTTCTCTTGACGAGGTCTACACTGATGCAAAGTCAAAATTTTTTTAGGGAGTGGGCAGCTGGGAAAGAGTCAATGGAATATTTAATTTAGCACCCGATAGTCATTCGTGATCGCTTTTTGCTGGTCAACGTCGAAAACTTGTATAGGACCAATGCAGTTTATTTAGAAAGATGGGGCTCAGCCACCCCTACCCCCCCTGTTCCCCAATGGGTGGGCGCTGGCTGGAGATGCTTTCCTCTAACTTGACGTCTGGAAATATGTCAGCTTCCGGTGGAATAACGCCAATGATTTGAAATGCTCCGCCCGCCCGGAACAAGGTTAAGGTCTGGGCTAATACACTGCCATGATTGCGTGTATCGCTGTGTGGCAATCGGCAACCATATGGCCTGGGCGGAGAATACAATATTGCGTGCGTAGGAACATTTATTTTGGTGTTATTCCTCGTAGAAGAATGAAAACAAGGAATATAATAACAAGACGTAATCTTACAGACAGTAAACTGTAAATAATCCACAGCTAGCAAGAGGAAAGGCATAAGGTAAAGAAATAGGTGCGACATTTTATGCGCACTCACCCGAAACATAGTATGTTGGGTAAGCCTCGTCCCATTGTAGATATCCAAAGCCTAGATCATGCTATACCGGGAAGGATTGGGTGGGTCAAGGACAGCCTTCTTCTTGTGAAAGCTTAACATTGACATAACTTAACCTATCTCTGGCGGCACATAGTAAGATTAGGCTTTGACCGAGGTATGACCTTCGCACTTTTTGAATGGCTCTGCGCTCGCCTACCCGAGAACTCAAACTGAGGTGTGGATAAATATAAAGGCTCCACGGATATTGTGGAAAGAGTGTGCAATTTTTTTGAACAAAGCAACATCTGAGCTATAAAGCAAAGCCAATGAGTCGGGGCTTCGATCGCACACTGCAGGCATCAGGCGATAAACGTTAATTGATATGAGATGATAGTGTGGGCTGTTCAATCCAGAATGTTTTAAACACACCATGCCAAGTTCATGCCATCCTCCAATTCATCAACGGTTTAAGCCATCCTATGGCTCACGGCTTCATAACGGGATGACGTTTCTTGGCCTATTCTGACTTAATGACGGGCAACGTTTCGGTGTAGATAGGGCCAACAATCCACCAGTCCCATGCCTGTTTATCAAAAGCAACAAAAATATGTCATAAATTAAGCGAACGATAACCTAACAAATCAAAGCTGCAAACCACAATAAACGGTAGCGTTTCGTATTTACCTGTAAAGGTAACCTGCACGTCCCACCTCGGAAACATAATCATGTGTTGCATGGCTTAAGGTTGCTCAGCGTCAAAAGGACACCGGGCTTGCTTGAGACAAGCTCTATCAGTTTTATGGGGAAGCTACAGTCCGCTAGGTATTTGCTTTGGTTATATCATGAGAGTCTGTATAAGCCCATGCCACTCATATCGCAAGAGGTGAGGACAGTGCGTGCACCATTAAGTTGCTTTTTCAATGGTTATCGGCTTAACCATACCCGAGCTCACATGGTTTTGAGGGCATAGGGATCGCTCGCCCCAGCATGCAGCGTGTCCTTCAACTGGCATTGTATTGGTTTAAGAAGTACTTAATAAGCGATTAATCCTCACCGAAATCCGATTGCATATACAAGACTGTCAGATGATGTCAAGAAGAGAGCGTCAAAGCGAGCTTTGTGGGAACGGTGGCTGTATGCATCAATGCTCGTGCTAACTCCGGATTTGCCTTCGCTCCCCAGTGGCAGTGCAGTCTCAGCGCACGACGACACTTCCCGACGTCCCGAAGACGTACGTCTGACCAGACGGAGAGCTCGGCAGTATCCGGCCGGGCCTCCCCTGCGAAGAGCTCCACATTTGGGCGCACCAGGACAGGTGGCCGTAACCTGCCTTCATCGAGGCCGGGTTCAAGAACATTTGGCCGCACCGGCAGCGCCACACTCACCTCCACCACCGGCGGCAATCGTGGCGCAGCAGCCCGCAATCGTGGCGCGACCAGCCAGACCCGTGGCGCAGTAGGCCGCAATCGTGGCGCGACCAGCCAGACCCGTGGCGCAGTAGGCCGCAATCGTGGCACGTCTAGCCAGAGTCGTTATGCAGCCAACCAGAACCGTGGCGCAGCAGCCCGCAATCGTGGTACGACCAGCCAGAGTCGCTATGCAGCCAGCCAGACCCGTGGCGCAGCATCCCGCAATCGTGGTGCGACCAGCCAGAGTCGTTATGCAGCCAACCAGATCCGTGGCGCAGCCAGCCAGAGCCGCGGCCGCGCGCAGGCCAGGCCCTCCAACGGCCGCGTGCCAAACAGGGTGCTGACGCAGTCACCCACCGTCAACTTCAACTGCCCGGAGCCCGATGGCTTCTTCGAGAACAGCAAGCAGTGTGACAAGTACTACGAGTGCAAGGAGGGCGTGGCAAAGGAGCAGCTCTGCCCTGACGGCCTGTTGTTCCATCCGAACCGCTCCTACCCGTGCGTCTACCCGACCGAAGTCGAGTGCGGCACACGGTCGGCTCAGCGTAAGTCCCGAACCACACCTGCCCGTGCGTCTACCCGACCGAGGTCGAGTGCAGCACACGGTCGGCTCAGCGTAAGTCCCGAACCGCACCTGCGCGTGCGTCTACCCGACCGAGGTCGAGTGCAGCACACGGTCGGCCCAGCGTAAGTCCCGAACCACACCTGCCCGTGCGTCTACCCGACCGAGGTCGAGTGCGGCACACGGTCGGCCCAGCGTAAGTCCCGAACCGCACCTGCCCGTGCGTTTACCCGACAGAGGTCGAGTGCGGCACACGGTCGGCTCAGCGTAAGTTGCTGTGTGGATCACGCAAAGGAACCCAGGTGTCTCAGTGGTGCGTATTTACTCTTCAGGCATGTCATGCTGTTGCTTCTTTTCTACTTAAGTTGTTTTATTATTGCAGTGAATAGACTTTCAAGACCAAGACGAAAATTGCCAGGATTTCCCCCTTGTGCCACGGCCGTGTTGATTGATATTTCACTCTGTTGTTCCTTTCCAGCCGAATGCGTCACATTGTAGCATGCATCTGATGTCTGCTTTTGGAAGGTGAAGCTTACATTTTTCTTGTTCACGCGACTGCGCGCTTACCCCGCCGCAACGCTACACTGCTTATGCTCAGTACCGAAATGCTTGACTTTTACATCGCTGATGAAGGTTATTGGCAAAATGTCCCCACTCACAAGGCGCAATAGCTTCTTTGCTGGAACTGTGGGCTCTTAAATCCCAGTCATAAATCAAAGCGCGAACCGACCGCTACTCCCTGCATCCTTCAATTTAAGCATCATTTATGCCTCAGTGCCTAATGCGTGGCTCTTTTACATGGAACTGGCGTAGCGGGTGACAGATGGTGTTTGCTAGTGCCAGGAATAGGGCTGAGACCATGGCTGTGACTTGGTTTGGGATTAGGGCTGTGACTAGGGCTGTGACTAGGGCGGCGTCAGCTTTGTCATTTGATAAGCCGGCCTCCTCTCATGGCTGGAGGCAGGTTTTGCATTTATTAAGTACGCACTTGATGGGGTTCCTATGACGTCACTGGAAGTCATGTTACGCGCGGTCATTTTGAAGGTCACCGCATACTACTCATTTGAATGTCTGTTTGGCGGAGACGTAGGCCGTTGGTGCGCAGCTTTAGCCTAAGACTATTTAGGAATTAATTTACTGGAGCCATCTAAAATTCAAGGATGTCGTTGGAGTCTTATGCTTAGCAGCTACGATAAAAAGCCCCTTGGCACTCAATTCTTACATTGCTGATGAAGAGCAGTGATAAATGCCACCATTAACAAAGCGCCAGTGCTCATTCGGTGGAAGTGAGGATACACAATCCTAGTCATTAGTGTCATATACTAGGTCATATACATTTGGTCATTCGGAGAGCACAGTGGTGTGCTCCGGGGCTCGCAGCGGTATCGTATTTTGTTAACACCTTATTTCGGCTTCATAGGCGATCCTAAGCCTTCGAAATCAGACAAATGCTAGTATATCCGGTGCCTCAAATCCAGTCCTCAAAAAACGCAGACGCCCCGGCATTCTGTCGGCAAGGAATTCGTTTGTTGTCTCTGCCTGCATCAGCCTTTCTCATGGCCAGCGTGCGGTGGCATTAAAGGCTGCCACGCGCTGATACAAGGTGCAAGTCCAAACTAAAGGTACCAAACTTTTCATTTGTACCTGCCGTTGAAGTGCATGTCCAACATTTGTTATAGGATTGCCATTCTAATATTGCCTATAAAGAAAGGTAGCTGCCATTGAAATCAGGCCTACCGTAATCCCAGGTGCCTTTAGCCATGCTCCGGCCTCAGGTATGTGGCGCGGCCGTGCCGCACCAGCGGACCACCTCCGGCCCAGTGCCGGCAGCTGGTGGGTCCTTGTGATGACGTCTCCGTCTGGCCGGCCAGCGCTGCGGGGCTGCGGTCAGGCCGTGATGACGCCCGGTGACGTCTCCCGCCAGATCCGCGACGGGGATTACGGGGCGCCGCTTGACCCCGTGGGGGTCCGCGGGTGCGGGTGCGGCGGCGCGGGCTGCGTCTGCCCCGGCTCTGAGCGTCCGCCGGCCGCGTGGCCCCGTGGCCAGTTTCGCAAGCCGCCGGCTGTGTCGCAAGGGTGATGCGGCCACAGTCGGGCATATTAAAACGCGCATAATGAAGTACACGGCGAGGCGCTGCTGGCGGCAGCAGACTGTCCAGTGTCGCAGCGAATCATGTCTCGCGAGGCAGTATAGCTGTTTGGATTGCTGCAGTGAAAAGAAGCGTGGACCAGGGCGGAGAACGTGCCTATGCAACTATAAGATGAGGCTCATCGGATACTGTAACCAGTTACGGAGATGGATGACCGGGGCTGGGTGTTACTCAATAAAGTCGTGACATGTTATCATCACATCTGTCGTAAATTTTCTCCAATGCTCTCTTTTATAGCATTTTAACAGCATCAGCATGCCAGGTCTCGGCAGGGAGACACTATTGCAGTCTTTCGTTAGTTCATTATGAATCGTTAGTTTAGATCCGTCGCGCCATTTCATCATCGCGTCGGTGCGACTATGTTAGATGTATTAAAAGGTAGACTCAGCAACAGGCTCTGAAGATTGTGAGATTTTTGGTTAGTAAAGATAGTAAATTTAACTGCTTATTTTGCTGCAACCATCAAGACCGGCGAGGGGATATTCGACATTCTCAATATGTGGAACTTCGCAATGCAGTAGCAGATGGTGCACTGTTCCCGTTAATAAGGTTGCAAACACGTCAGCTTCATTTTTGTGTAAAATTATCAACAGAACATGGCGTAGATAATGCACACCTGCATGAAGCTGCAAGCTGAAGAACTTAACTCCGCTGGTTTTGGCGCTCCGTTTTTATCACGAATTGAATCAGCGTTTTTTGCATGGCCGCATCATCGGTTATGGAACAACTCCGAACCCATACGCACATGCATATGTGCACATGTATAGAGAGAGAGAGAGAGAGAGAGAGAGAGAGAGAGAGAGAGAGAGAGAGAGAGAGAGAGAGAGAGAGAGAGAGAGAGAGAGAGAGAGAGAGAGAGAGAGAGAGAGAGAGAGAGAGAGAGAGAGAGAGAGAGAGAGAGAGAGAGAGAGAGAGAGAGAGAGAGAGAGAGAGAGAGAGAGAGAGAGAGAGAGAGAGAGAGAGAGAGAGAGAGAGAGAGAGAGAGAGAGAGAGAGAGAGAGAGAGAGAGAGAGAGAGAGAGAGAGAGAGAGAGAGAGAGAGAGAGAGAGAGAGAGAGAGAGAGAGAGAGAGAGAGAGAGAGAGAGAGAGAGAGAGAGAGAGAGAGAGAGAGAGAGAGAGAGAGAGAGAGAGAGAGAGAGAGAGAGAGAGAGAGAGAGAGAGGAGAGAGAGAGAGAGAGAGAGAGGAGAGAGGAGAGAGAGAGAGAGAGAGAGAGAGAGAGAGAGAGAGAGAGAGAGAGAGAGAGAGAGAGAGAGAGAGAGAGAGAGAGAGAGAGAGAGAGAGAGAGAGAGAGAGAGAGAGAGAGAGAGAGAGAGAGAGAGAGAGAGAGAGAGAGAGAGAGAGAGAGAGAGAGAGAGAGAGAGAGAGAGAGAGAGAGAGAGAGAGAGAGAGGAGAGAGAGAGAGAGAGAGAGAGAGAGAGAGAGAGAGAGAGAGAGAGAGAGAGAGAGAGAGAGAGAGAGAGAGAGAGAGAGAGAGAGAGAGAGAGAGAGAGAGAGAGAGAGAGAGAGAGAGAGAGAGAGAGAGAGAGAGAGAGAGAGAGAGAGAGAGAGAGAGAGAGAGAGAGAGAGAGAGAGAGAGAGAGAGAGAGAGAGAGAGAGAGAGAGAGAGAGAGAGAGAGAGAGAGAGAGAGAGAGAGAGAGAGAGAGAGAGAGAGAGAGAGAGAGAGAGAGAGAGAGAGAGAGAGAGAGAGAGAGAGAGAGAGAGAGAGAGAGAGAGAGAGAGAGAGAGAGAGAGAGAGAGAGAGAGAGAGAGAGAGAGAGAGAGAGAGAGAGGAGAGAGAGAGGGAGAGAGAGAGAGAGAGAGATGAGAGAAGAGAGAGAAGAGAGAGAGAGAGAGAGAGGAGAAGAGAGAGAAAGAGAGAGAGAGGAGAGAGAGAAGAAGAAGAGAGAAGAGAGAGAGGAGAGAGAGAGAGAGGAGAGAGAGAGAGAGAGAGAGAGAGAGAGAGAGGAGAGAGAGAGAGAGAGAGAGAGAGAAGAGAGAGAGAGAGAGAGAGAGAGAGAGAGAGAGAGAGAGGAGGAGAGAGAGAGAGAGAGAGAGAGAGAGAGAGAGAGAGAGAGGCCCAGGTTAACACTGGTCTATGGCGCACAAGGCGCACTTTTAAATACATCATTAAATGTACACCTTTGCAACATATACTGCACGCGTGTTTGCTCGGTACGCCTTTAGATAATGGAGTCGACTTACCTATACTTATTAAACAAGTCCGTTTTCATGGCAGTAATATAGTCTCTTCTGTTGGTTAGCTATCTTAAAATAAGAAAAAAGATCTTCAGCTCCTGCCTTTTCGGTATTATGAGTTCAAATAACTTAAGAAGAGCTAAGGACCTTTCAAATGCCAGGAGTTGCTGGTTAAACGACGTTGTAGACGTCATTAACAATTAAAATAGCGGTACTAAATATTTCGAGCCATACACATCTTCAAGCGTGATGCCCGATTAAAGAGTGATAAGACATAAAGACATAGAGATATAAATACATCAGGCCAACAAAGAGCCACAAGGGCCCATCGAGGTTGGCCCATCCTAGGTTTCTCACCCATCCTTGAACTAATCTTAACACCTAACCTGACTGAACTTAGCTATAAATGAGATCCTCAGACCTATAGAACTCATCCAAACGATTTTTAAATGTTGCTGGGGAATGACATCCTACAACTTCGTTAGACATTCCATTCCGATGATTCACTGCCCTGACTAAATGACATCTGCCTCTTCATAGTTCTACTCCTACCTTTGTTAATCGAAACTGGTTTCCTCTAAGTGTTGGCCTAATTTCCAGTGCTCCTTGTATATCTACCTCGTCTATGCCTTTCATAACCTTGAAAACCTCCATCG